GCATCTCTGCATTCACGCAAGCCTTAGAGACAGCAAAAAGAGGACTGAATTGCAGAGAAAAGATGAATAAGCATCACACAGATCATTTTAGTGTTGTTTCAGGCTTTCCTGTTGCCAGGCTTGCAACTTTCAAGATAGACTTATGAACAATTTCACAAAGCCTGTTTTATGCTGCACGCACCAGGGTGTGATTTTCGAATACTGACTTTCACAAGGACCCTTCTGTGAGACGGACTGCCCACTATTCAGGCTATCTCCTATGGCAAGTGACTTAGCTGATGCTGCAAACAGGACAGATCTCTTCAGGAGAGCACTTAAAGATCCAGGCTACTGTTCAAGGCAGAAAGAGCTTCAGTGTTTAAATTTGGTGCCTACTTTAGGTATGTGTGAAAATCCTACCATAGAGGATGTCTGTCCTGACTTGGAAGGCAATGCCAGTCTTACTGTTCAAACTGAGCTTATGCTGCATAACTTGCAATTTATTATTTTCATGCAGCCCCCGAGATGTTGTTAAGTTACTTCATCACAGGTAATACAAAGGTGGTGAAATAATCCAGGGTCCCAATGGGTGGGCTATTGCAAGTCTGTTCAGCCAGAGAGTCCTATACCGAAGAGCTTGGCATCCACATGGACAGGACAGGCAGTGGATTAATGAAAGGAAGCATCGATGCCTCCATTTGATAGTAGGAAACCAAGATAACACAATTAGTGTCATTGATTAGTCCAGGTGAGGGGGTATGTAGCAGAGCTGGGATTTGGCCCAGAGTTCTGGGATCCCAGTCAAAAGCTTTAATCATGCAACCATTCTTCCTGCATCTCTCTGCAAGCACTGTGCATCTTTCTTTTCTGCAGTGCCAGCCACAGTCTCTCGCTGAAGTTGGAGTTGCTAAAATTAATGGCACATCACTGAGAACTGCAAAAGGTAGAGATTAACCCACCTCCTCTTAAAGTAAAATTACAGGTGCCTTCTAGGCATAAACCAAACTTCAGCTCTTTTCTACAACATGCAGCTTCACTTCACTAATTCTTAAAATTACTTTGGAGGCTTTTACATGTGGATCCTAACTCCCAGTGCCAGCAGGTGAGAGACGAAGCATCCATAAATCCTGATTGTTCTGAAGATTTTCATATATCCTCTAGACTCCAGCACTGAATCTCTTTCCCCCCCCCCGCCCCGAGCTAATGCTTCAGTAGCTGCACCTTGACTTTCAAATGCATTAACTGAGTTGCCAGTCATCATTATTATTTTTTTCTTAGCAATCTCTCAGCTTTACTTCAGCAATCCTCCTGTCCCTTTCAAACTCCAAAATCCACATTGCAGAAAAATCACTGTTTAAAGGCTGAACTTGGGGAAAAACCATAATTCTAAAGGAACAGCTGATCCCACAGGCGAGATTAATTCAGTCTCAGGTCAGCTTTTTGACAGCTTTCCCTGTAATGAAGATAACCTTTAGTCTGTGAAACCAGGAGGATTTCCTACAAACTAGACATGTATGCTAGTTCAGTCAACTCATCGGTTTCCCTGGGTGGCTTCTCAGGGGGCCCTGGCAGCAGTTTGAGATGCTCTCCAAAAGAACAAGCAGGTAGTGATGCCTTCCTTTTCCTTGAAGATTCAGATTGCACACAATAGAGTAGGGTACTAACTAAGCCTGGGAAGAGTGACCTGCAAAACACCTGGAGAAGCAGAAGGTCTTTGCACAGGAGGCAACATGGCCTAGAGGGTGGAAGACAGGTCCAGGAGAATAACAGTCCCCATTCTTATTGCAGCTATGCCACTGAGTCACTGATATCAGTAAATCAAGTACACAAACAACTAGGAGAAGAGCAATTGGCAGATGAAAGAAGAGGATTTGAGTCTCAACAGAGTGACACACTTTTCAACATGTCCCCCTGGAGCTGTTATGCCTTGTCTCAAGTAGCAAGCCCAAATCTCCCCAAACGAACAACTATTAGTAGATTTCTAATATGCATCACGACTTGATTTCTTACATGACTTAGTATCTTGCACAACTTGAAGAAAATATGCAAACCATCCTTACTAACAGCTTTTTCATCATCTATCCCAAATGCCCAGAACTTAATGCATCCAAGGGCCTCAGCAAAATGTGGTGCTCCCCTGAAACTTGAAGTCCAGCAAGTCTGGATAAGCATTTAGGCACTTAAGTCCTTTTGTACAGCCTCAGGGCTTAAATGTATTGCACCGTGTTTTCAAATGCTGGGGCTAGAATCCACTCTCTTTTTTTTCAGGATGATGAATAGGTTTCTCTTCAGATATCCCAGAGGAGAGAAACTACATTTCGCTAAGACAGAATGAGGTCTTAGGACCCATTCTAAATTGTTGAATTAATTGAGCCTTCTTTTACTGAACAGACTTGCAATAGCCCACTCATTGGGCCCCTTTTTTTCAGTGATTCAATTAGATGAACTGGTGAATAAAGACCCAACACAGGTGCTGGAAGCGGGGGGGAATCTCTGTCACTTGTAGCTTTGGGGATGGTAACTTCCCAGAAGTGTTGTTCCCACTGTCAAGTAGGGCAGGCTGAAGAATAATGTTCTCAAGAAAATTGTTGGGATGGTAGGACAGGCGGTCTAGAACTCTGAAACTATTTAAACCAATTCATCACGTCTCATTGCTTCAGACACTTTTGGATTTAGACTTTTAAGCCTTTATGTGTGCATGCTGTCCTTGAATTGAAGAGGCACAATATCTTCTTTGTGTTACTCAAGCCTTGCCCTTCCTATGGTTAAGCATTGAAGCAAACATTTTAAGAAAAAGGGTTAAAAATAAAGTGCCAACATTTTCTTACTGTACAGAATTGTTTCTTTGTGATAAAAGATTCTTTAAAAGACATTCTTTGTAGAACAGAGGTTACTGTGAATACAAAGAGCTACTCCAGTGAGACAGAGAGGTGCTTCTTCAACGTTACACTCAAAAGGAAAGAAAAAAAGAGAAAGAGAAGGTGGCTAACACAGAGTAATTTAAAAAAAAAATGCTAAAAGAAGGAAGAATCACTTCCCTGTATATAAAAATGAAAAAAATAAATGTCCTCTCACTTTCTTTTCATTTACCAATGTTTTCTACCCAGTAACTTCTCTGATTTAACTCCAAGTTCCCTCTATTGTCAATAACAGAAGAATCAAATGCACTTGTTTTAGTTGAGAGTTTAATGTTGGAAGAAGAAAGCTACAAAATTAATTTTAGAAATGGATGACTCTACATATGCAGCAGGACAGATCAACTCCACTAAGATGAAGAAGATGATGAACACTACAATGGACAATGATGGACAAGTACTCAAGTGGATTCATATTACTGAATTTTGATTTAGTATGCAACGCACTACTGGGTTTGATACTGTTATTGCTGCGGGGGACTCAACTCCCCACATTATAACAATACAAATAAACTGAACTTGTTTGGGATGGAATACTGAAGAAATCTCAGATATCAAAACACTAGATAGAAATGTAAGGGACATATTTTCGGAAGACAACCAAAGATACTTTCCCATTTGTGATGTTACAAAAAGAATGACTGGCATAGGGCTGCCCTAAGCGTGCCTATGTTAAACCAAGCTGAACTGATAATTATGACAGTTCAAAACATCATTACTCCTCTTCTGGAGTGCAGGCTGTGGGTATTTCTGGCTCTGTCTTCCTGTTGTTAATGCTAATGTCTTCCCTCTGTAAGAGCGGACACAGTCAAGGTAAAATGATTAGACATTCATAAAAATCTCTGATTGCTAGCAGTGCTTTGTCTGCAGAGACCCACTGTCTCGGCTCCAAACATTTGCTAATAGTGTCTAGAAAATTCAAACCCACACAATTAGCCAAGCAAAAATGAAAGCTGCCATTTACAGGTTTTATTGTTTCATTTTTCTTCTAGGAAAAACATTGAATATCCCCTCAAGAGAGATGCTGTATTAAAAATTTCTTTGCTAAAATGACACTTCTTCCTTTGATCTTCACTTCTGGAGTCATTTGACCTCACATAGCATCTTCTCACATGAGAAGCCAAAGAGCTCTTCTCTGTGTAAGTTGAATTCACACTTTTGTGCAGGTATACAAAGACTTGAAACTATTGAATGGATTAAATTCCTTCCTTTCTTATTATGGTGCCTGTATGCAAAGGCCTAGATCAAAATTACACTTATCATTAGACTCTCAGTCTCTTTCCATGTTACTCCCTCCTCCTTTACCTTCCTTAAAGGTCACTGCTGGCTGGTGGTTCCCAGTCATGCCTTGGCTTCAGGCTCTGTAAATTTTCTTTCTGAAGATGAGTGTCTAGACAGGCAAATCTTTGTTAGCTACTTACACCTTTATTAGCCAATGTCAAGAAATTAAGCAAAGGGTCAGATCATGTTACCAGTCAGTAACACAGACAGCTTCTGAGCCACCTCTTGGGAGTGTACACCCCGGATAGCAGAGTATTTGAAGAAGGCTGAAAAAGTTTCTTTTCCTTCCACTTATTACAAGCACCCTTATTCTTTCTTTCATCTAACAAGAGCCAAATTAATGAAGTATGCAGTACGATATTGTGAAATATGTACCCTTACAAGTTAATACCACAAAACACATAGTTAAAATGGTATAGCATATTTGTCAGAGTGCTTATACATTACTATTTATTTATCGAAAAGAAAAGTAAGGCTTAGAGAGTACTGACCAAAGCATAACTACAGCTGGTCTCATAATAAGACATTGCAACCATGAAGAGAAAGACTGTTATGTAAGACTGCAGAGAGCACACTAAAGAAACATAATGCTTCCAGTCAAGGGCTGAACTGGAGAATTTTCATCATTATAGATCATAGCAGGTGACAGACACCTCCTAGAGACAGCTCACATAATTTAAATAACTAATTTACGAGGGTTTAAAATAAGATACTGTCTTATATAATCAGCTATTAACATTTCACTTCTCACATGTAAGTTTTTGTTTGCTCTTCAAAAGAACCCCAGTTGCATATACTTGACATTATAGAGGAATTTGGCTTTACCTGAATCATCTACTCTCAGCTTTTTACTGGGATTGTCACCACTGTCATCATCGGACATTTCCATCTCCTCTTCCCGGCGGATTCCCATGAGCTGTTCACTGTGAGCATTTCGGAGCTCCTAAAACCCAAAATGACCTTTTGTCAATATTAACTTCCATAAAATCATCATGTATTATTTAGTATCTGTTTTTAGTGTTGTTCTGATTTTAATTATAAATCATTTATCATTGCAATCGTATTTATTTGTGTATGAATATTTATAACAACAGTAGCACAGGGAATCCTTCCTGTGAAATAACAGAGTTTATCAAAGGTTAACACTCAAGGAAAACAAGAGAGAAAGTGAGTCTCCACATTGAGCGATCTTTAGTTCTACTAAACATAGCAGAATGCTTTAACAGCAGTGATAATGCTTAAAAACGTGTATAAAGCAGACTGATAAAGACATTGTCAGCCTGCTTAAGGTACAGCTAATTCTTGCTTCTCTCTGCCACTTGGGGTAGGATTCATCTGACCAAGTGTAGGTGTTTCCATTAAACAAAGTCATATTAATTACTAAGTGCCTAGTTCTCTCTGCTGATGAAGAGAGCAGAGAGCAGCCAGTGCAGATGGAGTGCTCTACATTGTAGGTGCCTAACACTGGGCAAAGGAATCTCACCCTTTCTCCCTGTGCTCAGATCGCCTCAGATTTAAAAGAGCCGGCCCAACAGTGCTGTCCTGAAAATCTCTGCATCTTGCTCCAAAACAGGTGCCAGCACGGACAGCCTGGTCGCCGGGCGACCACCGCAGGGTGGGTAGGCAGGCAGGCGAGCGGGCAGGGAGCCCGTGCACATGTCACCAGGTAAATGATCAGCAGGCACGCGGGCTTTGTGGGAGTCTAGACGATCTTTGTTCTGTGTAGAAAAGCCAGCGTGGGTGTAGCGGCTGGCTTTTTAATGGCAGCGCTGAGAAGATTGAGAGGACTCTATTTTGCCCTAATAATCCTGTCAGGTGTAACACGGGGATGCTGCACCGTGATTAGTGTAGGCCTTTTCAGTCTGAAGACAGCTAATTTTTCTGCCAACAAAGAACCTAATTCCCAAAGAGGTGGTTTGAAATCTCTGAAACAAGGAAGAGTCATGTGGAAGGAGGAGACAGCATTGAGGAGTCCGACCACTGCTCTGTGCAATTAACAATAAGCTGTCAGAGAGGGACTGTGTGAAAAAAGGGAAGGCGTTTCCCTGGAGCTGTTCCCTTGGTTCATCGGCAGATCTCAAATATTCCAATAAATGTATATGTGTCCATTAATCCCAGCAAAGGCAAGGAAGCTAATTAGTGGGCGTTTTACATGAGAATAATTTCAAATTTTAAAAAAAGTGATTAAAAAGGTAAATTGTCAACCAGTGTCTCATGCAATCAGAGGCACCTCTGGAATAAATTAGCAAGCCATTTCTTAATTCCTTTTTGGAAAAGGCCACCCACACTTTTTCCCAGGGAAATATACTGCACACATGAACAGACATCATCTTACATTTACTGCCTCTTTAGGGGATAAATATCCTTGATGCATCAATGTCTACATTATCAGCAAAGCCAATAAACTTCCATGGAGAATGTCTATGTGTATGAATGTTTTCTTCGGGTTTGGGTTTCTAGCAAAGCTTTATAAATTCAGAAAAAGGGGGAAGGTGATCAGGTAATTAAACAAAATAGTAGATAATGTCACGGTTAGAAAATATTATTTAAATCAAAGATTCCATTTGGTACATTTCCATCACATTTCACATCTGAAAAGCAGGCATTTCTAAAATATTTTGTTTCAGTGAGAGCCTTCGCATGTTTTTTAGTTGTTTCTGTTGTCCTTTTTTTAGGAAAACAAAAGGCAATAACATCTGAAAAAGCAAGTAGTAAATTAACATTTCTGTAAAAGTCCAACTCTTACACATTTCAGTTTATTAAAGATTTAGAAGCCAGCAAATGCAACACACCACATCCCTTTACAGAAAGTTAGTTTAAGAAGGGATGGTCAATATAATTGAAATAAGCTACTAGCAAATCATATTTTCATACTTCTCTAAAAGATAAGACAAACATCAATCCCCAACTTCCCAACTTTCAATTGAACAAAAGCTTTATCCACTACTTATATGAAATATTTGTGAACAAAATGCAAAATACAGTTTATACCAATAAATTATGCTAACATTTTAAGTGTCCCATTATTGTGAAGTCATTTTATATTCACCATAACAGCACTGATAATAAAGAATTCATTTGGTATTCATGTGGATGTTACATTTAGTGCCATTGGTATTCAACTGTAATTTAGCGCTAGTTAATGGGCACTTAAAATGTTATCCAAATGATTTATATTGCAGCACTTTAGTGTTTCTCAAACTAAGTGTACAACACTTATTTTACAAGTGTACTACAAAATAATTAAATAAGTGCACCTTACCTTCTAAAATTTTTATTCTGAGACAGAGAAAAATCATTTAGAGGACTGTGAAACTAATAATCAACATACTGTACTACATGAAAGTAAACCAAGTGTATGTAGGTTGCTCATATTAAAAAAAAAAAAAAAAGGAAGAAGAAAGAAAGAAAACAAAGACAGCGGTACTTACTTTTTAAAATACAGGCTCATAGCGTACATACTGAATTAAAAACGAAAGCTGGATGACCAAAACACAGGATGAGTTCTAGCACGTCCTTTGCTGCCACTCACAGCAAGCAGAATTAGAATCCCATTTGCTCTGCTCGTGCTTATGACAGTCATACATGCATGGTCCCACATTGCTAACTCTGCGTTGTAGTATGATTACATTTATACTGGTTTCTTTGCAAACATAATACTTAGGATAAATACAAGTGATGTATCTACTTTTTTTAAAGATAAACATAAAACAAATGGGAAGGAGCATGTCATAATTCTAGACTTAATATGCTTAAGTCATTACTTAGGAAATAAATTCTCTATTTTGTTTTCGGGCAGGTCTTATAATGACCATATGATGCCACAATGAGAAAAAAAAATCTGTGCTACAGAATACGTCTTTTAAAAACAGATCACAATGACTCCTAGAAAGATGTTTTTCCAGAAGTAATTCTTAATTCTATCCTTAGTTGAAAATATTGTTCACAATTTCACTACTTCAGTTCATTATTTTAGATAGTAAACATAATCCTCCAATGATTTCCCAAATCTTGCTTGAAAAATAAAAACACATTGCTCTCTGTCTTAGTGTTATTTAATGACTATTATCATAATGAGAGCAATGGGAGCAATTCATACTGTAGATGAGACTGTATAATGGCCAGTTGATTAAGAGCTAAAACAGTAGCCGTAAATATTGCTGAATACACTATGTCCAGCTACAACCACACTCGTTCTGTGTCAATCCAGCTGTGAGATGATGGATAGAAAGTAATAATAAAATCACCAACCTCAGAATGCTTTCGCCAAATGTCTATGTTCTTTCGCTGGGCTTTCGAGAAATGGTCCCAAGCTTTTTGTCTGGTAGAAGCGTTGAAAACGGCGACAATCTGCTCAACTTTGGTGAACAAGGAAGTCAAACAAGACAAGCAATTTATGTTGTGATCACTATAGAGAAGCAAAGCAAAGACACTAGGAGTCTATGGATGATGTCATTACTGAAACAACATCATCAATATCCATCCAATGATGTGTCTTTTGTACTTACATTTTATCAATGTTGGAGATGTCTCCCTTCAAGTCTGTCTCCATAACTTTACACAGCTTATAACTATGCACCAAAAAAACATGCATGCAGCTGCTTCCCAGTGATGTCTGCTGGAACTCTCTGTGCAGCCACACGCCTTTGTGTGTTGCTATAGGCGTGTGACTACAGAAACAACACTTGAGGCATAAACCTGACGCATGTTCCCCTGTGGCAGCTGTGTGAAAGACAAGCAGACTCTGCCTTGGAGGGTGGCTATCTGATAGCGGGAATTTGCCAGCAGACAGGAAGGGCTAAACCATACATTAATGCAGCATTCTGTAGCTGCAGCTGTTGCTTCTCTGCTATTTAATATAAACAGGCTCACCTGTGGTAGATCATGCTGTCCTGTGTCCATGGCCTATGCATGTTTATGTACATGAAGAGTCACATTTTTGTGCATATAAGATGGAGAAGAGATGTGAAATGGGCTTCCCTCATTCAGCTCTAGTGAATTTGTTCTGAAGTCAGACACCAATATTTAGGACAATATCCAGGACAATTAAGATCCTTATGTTTTTAGCTACTTGTTCATCCTAAATCAGAACCTTTTCTCCCAACACTTTTTTCTGTGTCTTTGCATCAGTTACAAGCAACATTGTCCTTCCACAACAGTGACCTGCCTAAAAATGATTTGGCCAAGATGTAAGTTGTCTTGATCCCAGCACAGTTAACTGAAGGACCACCAAGAGAAATCCAGATTTTCTACAAATGACTTGGGTTGTGTTCCTGAGTGAGCAGCTGTGCTGACCTATGAAGTCAAAATGAAAAATGCTTCAACTCTGTGACACAGTTCTTGGCTACTTATCTCTTTAGATTCCTGGGCTGTAATGATGCCCACTGTTTTGTAAAGCTGCAGCTTGCAGCACCTTCGTCCCCTCTCTTTCATTGAGAAATGGTGGCAGGAGTGCTGTAATGCCCTCTGATCTGGTCTCTCATCCTGCTCTCCTTCTCCCCTCAAGTCACACACGTAGAGGTTCTCATTATACATAACAACCTATCTTTCCTAAAACAGTGACCTCACATAGTCAGTTATGTATCTTTCACCTCTAGATCTGAAAGTTACTCACTCACTGGAAAAGGAGCACATCTATTTTATTCTCTATTTACCACCGTTGCAGGCTGCTTTCAGATTCAGGAACTACAACATTTTGAATCACATATGGAAATTTTTCTTTGCAATCATTACCACTGGTTAAATAATTTCTAAAGCCATAGAAATAAATGTTGTCTTTTAAGATTAATACTTATATGTAGTTTATACTAAAGAAGGCACCTCAAAACTACTGGGATGTTCCAATCCATTTGTGATCTGTTCAAGTTTTAATAGCAGATGTGATAATTTCGGCCTATTAGAACTTGCTTGGAGTGAAGGGTGGATATATAAAGGAAGTTATGCTGTGTATATTTATTCAATTGATTTGAAAAGAATGAAAATGTTAAAGTACTCTATTATTACATGTATAGAAACTGAGGCTAGAATTTAATTACTGTCATTGTGTTGATGACCCAGTGCTCAGAAAAACTTGCTTAATTAACAATCTGGGCTTAGATTGCAAGTGGAAATTCAAGTAGAAAAGATTCACAAAGAGATTAGGAAGAGCTGGTTTGCCATTTTCCACTAATAGGTATTAATAAGATCATCTGAATTTTGAAAAACATTTGAACTTTAAAGTGTTTAATTTCCAATCTGTGAATAGGTGCTAAGACTTATTGAAAGTCATTACCTGATCATTTCAGAAACTCTCCTCAACGAAACACAAGCTAGGAAGATGTCAAAGAGTTTTTCTTGCGTAACTGCAGTAGACAAAGTGAGGAAAAGAAGGCTCTCCTTCACTTACCTAACTTTCAGGTATTAAAAAAACGAAAGGGGGTAGGGTACTAAGAGTACTAGAAGTTAAAAATAAAGGCATTTAAAGAAACTTTACGCAACAGACAGCTAGTGATAATAAAAAAGGGAAATGTAGGGGAGAATATAAATTAGTACGTATCAAAGACCAACATCCCACTACTCTATAGTAAAAGAATGTCAATATATATACAGCAATTTAAATGTACACAGTAATCTAGGCTATGAAGTGTTACAAACACCCACAGGTAACAGCCAACTTAAAAGGTCTCCAAGCATCACATTAGAGCTAAAGAGCAGCCAAAGCCATGGTTCAACAGTACTGGGAAAAGGCTTCACATCTCTTTGTACTGCATCAAAATCCTGCATTGGCATGCTGAGATTGCAATCCAATATAAACCCATTCTGCCAGTTCACATTTGTTTGCAGGTTAATTCATGTTGCATCAAGATTCACTTGTTCTCCCACAGACACCTTGGAAGCCTAAAGCTGGCATAAGTCCTGTGCTCTGGCTATTTGGTAGACAAGACACAATGTACCCATCACTGATCAGGACCCTATCTGTACGAGTAAGTGATCCCGCAGCACACAGCCCATAAGGATGGTAGATTCATCCCTAAGGAGAAGCCAGGAGAGTTTATATCAGCCGAGAAACTGTCCAGTTAACTCACTTTTCCTCCATGTCTGGGTAAGATTTGGCTAAAAAGAGGCCCCAGATTTTGGGCTGATATCTGCAGAATCTGAGTGAAACTGTTGCTCCCAGTCTCACTGCTGACCACAATTTTCTGACTATTTCCTGACCTCCAGAAAGAAATTTTCAAAATGAAATAACAGATCATACCTATCTCTCTAAGGCACCTTGAACTCTAGGATGCACAGTACTGTCAACTGTGGCTGGTAAGTAGAATTATTAAGTAATATGAAATATTCGTTGTCAAACATCCGTTGGTGATTTCTATGCTATATCAAATTTTCATTGACCATATGCAAAACTGTGTCCTTACTAAATTAGGTTTTAAAAAACCACATTGTTCTGGAAGGTTCCATACCATAATCTTTGTTTTTCCTATCAATATAACTTACAGGATGCAAATAATTGCATCTTTCCTAACAGCTTATTCTGTGGCTGGTAATTTATGTGGCATGTTTCAGACAAAGGATTATTATCTAATTGTTTTTCTGCTGAGTTATAAATAACTAAAAAGACCCAAACAACTAAGCCCAGAGTGATATGTAAGTGCCAATGTTTAACAAATGCAGTGTAACTACAATACACTTTATATTAGAGGTGCCAGCTCATAGTAAGCATATTAAATGAAAGTTTAATCTCAGCTTCTGTTGCCATAAAACATGCTACCAGAATAGGGTATTGTGATCACGTATAAATGTAAAATCAGCCAGAAAAACTAGGAACAACAAAAATCCCTTAAATGATGCCTCCAGAAGTTGCATACAAGATTGGATTAAAGGGAAAACTAGAATTAGACCAAGGGCAAGAGAATATTTGACACAGGATATTTGAAAATTATACTAACAGAGAAGAACAGAAATAAATGAGAAATAAAGTATAGCCTCATCTGTAGATTAAGAGGTAGAGAGAATACTTTTACCATCCATTACATTTATCAAGCAGGCTATTTTAAATAGATGACTGAGTGAAGGCTGAAATTTCTTCTTGGATTCAGGAGACAAGGAGTAGTCAATTTTTTATACTATCAGCTGCCATGCACACGTGAATATTTTTAATTTCTTGTATGCAATAATAAAGAACATCAGCAACTACATGTTTGATAATGCCTTAGGATAAAAACGAAACAAAAAAGCAACTGAAACACAACGTGTTAAAATAGAACCAAAAGTCTTTGCTGGCAGATATAATAATCAGATTTCATGTAGAATTTCACTCCAAATTCCACCAATTAGTGATACAGGATGAAAAGGGCTTTGCACTAAATTACTGTAAGTGCAAGAGTAGAATATATGGCAATTTAGCTCAGAAAAATTCTGTAAGAGTGCGACAGTTGACATGCAGGGTAAAAGAAAAATTCCACCCATAAAATTACAGTGTAAAGGAAACTGTTACAGTAAATGTATAACATGCTTTTCTAATACAGATTTGCAGCACAAGGATACAGAGTTGGTGTGGTTCGGGTCAGAAGCCTTGCTGCTGAATTCTGAGTAAGCTGGAGTCTGCCAATTGATTTGGCTCCAAGCCCAGCAACAGCAAACCAAGGAATTACAGTAGTCAAGGCTAGACACTATGAGTGAGTCTCCAGGTCAGTTTTGGATAGGAAACAATATTTTTGTCAACACTCCTGAAAGACGTTTGGTGACGTACTGAACAGATCTTACCATTAAATCCAAGGCTAAAATTGCATGTTGGCGAATGACATATAACATCACTAAGAGAAACGGTAGGCAGATTGCAGAGTAATGAAATAAACATTTTTTTTTTTTAAAGTTAATCTGGGCCCAACTCTCAGTGTTTTGGTTATGATACTGTTTACTTTCAGAAAATAATTTGCCTTTCACACATTTACAGCTGAAAAGTTGCAGCCCCTCTCTGTTACTCAATGTATGTGCCATAGAGAAACAGATGTGGTTGCCATTGACTGGCAGAGGAGGGAACTGAAAAAGTTGGGAGTATCACCCTGAAGAAGCCTGCAGATAATGCAAGGGACAAGGTTTAAAGTAAAGCATCCTGCTGGTCATCAGTTGTATACATAAGCAAATGCCATTATAGATTTGTATAATGAAGACATAGATTTTGACAGATGTGCAAAATTACTCATCTGCCACAAATAAAATTACAACCTTGCTTTGTTTTGTTCTTGCTTTTGTGTGGGGTTTGTGTTTGTTTGTTGCTTTTTTTTTTAAATAAAACAACAAAAAACCAAGAACCCAGAAAAAATCCACGGGTATCAACAAGAAGGTGAATCATGCCTGCAATTCCAACAGTGAAGAG